TTATACAAACAGTTAATACATTGGCTTTTGGATTCGTTTGCATTCTATGGCTCATTAGATTACACTTATCAATTTTAACGTTAATCGTCTCCATAACTTCAATTTTTCAGTATATTAGCTTCTGTTCCTAAAATTCCGGGATCTATTGCAAATGTGAGAACGAAACAAGAATATATTTATCGAATTACTCGAACAGAAAATTATTCAGAGAAACCTCTGAGAGTTTTTGTGAAACATTTTTTTCTAGATGCATGTTTATATTAAAGTGAAATGAAAAAAATGAAATGTACCGTTACAGAAACTTCAAAAGTAAAACAAATTTTCTTCCATTAATCTCACACGCATATAGTATACACGCACACAGAAAAAAAAAAATAAATAAATAAATAAATAAAATAAATAAATAAATATATACAAAAATTCCTTTTTCCAAAACAAAACTTTTTCCACAACAAAACACAATCTCCACTGACAACAACAAAGTCCGAATCAATAGCTTTTTCTTTCAATGCTATTACTTGAAAAATATCATCACGGTGTGCTCAATTTTTACGAAATATTATTACACGTAGACTGCCAGAAAAGAATTAGTTTGAGAGTATGGATGGTACATTTCTAAAACGACGCCAATTGTTTTTAAACACCGTCAGTTTCATTAGAAAATTACTATTGTCAACAAACGATGCTAGAATTTTATCGGCCGTCAAAAGTAATGTGCTCTGCCAAAAGCAAAATACTCTGCTCTGTGAAGTAGATTCCTAAGTGAAACACAAAACCAAGATATTAAAACATACAAAACACATAGGCTAAATGATAATATTCCTATGTTCATTATTAAAATTATTGTTTCTCTAAATGTTTTTTGAAAATTATTATATAGCTTCTTCAGCATTACATCATAAAAAGCAATATGGTGTTCCAATATCATGTCCTAAACCTTAATTAATGTTTTTTTTATCGAAGAAGCCATAAAAACTATTAATAAATATCTAATAATTATTGCACTGGTAGATGAATAATTAACTAACATTATATTCAGAAAAAAAAATTTAAAATTCATAAATCAAGTTCTCTAATGATGCATAAATCTCATTTTACTTTTTAAACACAAGTTAGTTTCAGTATTTATATTTACCTAAAACTTAAACTTTAGAAATATTATTTAGACATTTGAGTCTTGAACCAATATATTTTGATAAATTACATATAAAGGTAGAAATATTTATTTTGAAATACCTATTTTTCCACAGGCTGTTATATACAAATTTAATTCAAAAATTACAATCTAATATCGACCTAAGAAGAAAACACGCATATGAAAAGAAATGCTTCATGCTTTCCTAAATTCCTTTTAAGGCCTACCAGTGGCCGAGCGGTAAAATCGCTGAACACTGGTACTTCGTTTCGAGGTTCGAATCCCGCGAACGGGATGGCTGCATGGGCGTTTTCGTGGTTTTCCCCATGTGTAACGTGTATACAAGCCAGTTTCCCTTAGAAAGTCCTCCCCGAAGGCATCCCTTCCCTTAGGCAGATAGCCCTAGTGTGCTTTGCCGAATTCTCAATACACACCATACACCTAAATTCCCTTCGGGGGGGGTTAAGCACCTCTAATCAGTCACAATACCAGTGACCACAAAGCAGTCCCTGGTTTTGAAAGCATATAACTTTAATACTGAAAGGATTATCCTGTCCAATATTTTGCCATAGCTGCATAAGTGATATTTAGTGATATTAATCTGAATCACAAACTTTCAATATATTTGCCACCTTTTAAGCGAGAAACATCAACAGAGTAATTCCAATGTGTTGCATGTGTTGTGAAATGCACTCATAGCAACGTTAATGCCTTCTTGAAGATCACTGAGTGTTGCGAGTAACTGGGGTACATACATCTGATCCTCCACAAATCTCTACAGAAAGAAGTCACAGTCAGACCTCTCATTAGGTCAGGCTCATTACAGACAACTTGATTTTGGGGTTCAATATGGCCTAGCTATCCGTTCGCGAAATTCTCGTTTAGAAACATGCATACAGCAACGGCTGAGTGGATTTTCCATCGAGCTGTAAAATGTAGATGCCTGTTTTCTCTCTCTGCAGTTAAGTTGATGAATCACTACTCGCATAGCAATATTAAGTAATTTTCACTATAATTGTTTGTTTCTTAAAGGACAGACTGTATATACTCAGCATTCTGATGCAGCGCTAATTTGGGGTGAGTCACATTTCGTATCATAGTACACTCGGTTCCCAGATTTCGATATTGTGCTTATTCGCTTTTCCGTGCAAGTGGAAAATCGCTTCATCGTTGAAAAGGATCTCCATCACAGAGTTTCATTGTTCTGTGTTATGTCTCGTAAAATTATGTTGCTTTTCCGTGCAAGTGGAAAATCGCTTCATCGTTGAAAAGGATCTCCATCACAGAGTTTCATTGTTCTGTGTTATGTCTCGTAAAATTATGTTGCTTTTCCGTGCAAGTGGAAAATCGCTTCATCGTTGAAAAGGATCTCCATCACAGAGTTTCATTGTTCTGTGTTATGTCTCGTAAAATTATGTTGCTTTTCCGTGCAAGTGGAAAATCGCTTCATCGTTGAAAAGGATCTCCATCACAGAGTTTCATTGTTCTGTGTTATGTCTCGTAAAATTATGTTGCTTTTCCGTGCAAGTGGAAAATCGCTTCATCGTTGAAAAGGATCTCCATCACAGAGTTTCATTGTTCTGTGTTATGTCTCGTAAAATTATGTTGCTTTCCCTTCCTTGTCTTGTGGGTAGACGAGGAAAAGCAACATAATTTTACTACAGTCGGTTCAAAAGTGCCGTTGGTATCAGAGAACTTTTCTCACTCGATCTAAAACTTCCTCCAAAATAAAAGGTCAACCAGAATTTCCTTTTCTTTGATTAAAATTGAACTTGCCTCACTAAATGTTTTATATTATTTCAAAATGTATTTATGTATAGTTGGTGAGAATGTCAAAGTTTTGTTTGAATACACACTATATACAAGTAACACTAATTATTTTTGCAAATTGTAACACATAGTTGCTGTGAGGTGAACGATTTCGATGTAACTGTTCTCTAGCAGCTGGAATTATCCCTAGCAATTCTCAAAGAAAGAAAAGAAACATTTTTGAGTTCATCTAGACGTGGATATCCCATTTATCAACTTCTTTATGTAACTTCTTATTTAATCACATCTTGAAATCAGTGACTGCTTTTATGCTCACCATAATTATCTTCCATTACTTACTAAAATACTTCTTTGCACGTAAAGTCTAATAAAACAAATGTCCTTCGCTTATTCTAGTAAAATTTAATGTTTCTTTTCAAAGGCACTCCATTTCAATGCATAATTTCGAGATTTATTCCACGTTTGACAGCCATTATATTCAAAGCTAAGGAAAGAATTATTCATTTTTTTTAACCAAAGATTTATCATTACAAAGGATTTGAATTCAACAATTATGCTGATTTTCTAGTTTTTTCTCTCTGCAAGAAATTTCTCTGTTAACGATATCCAACGTAACTACAGCCAATTACTTTCTGTTAGCCTTTTTGTATACGTACTTTGCTTTCGTGAGCGCTTCTTAACTACTGAGTATAAAGTGTCATTCTCTTTCTTAATCATAATTACTTAACATTACTCTGTTTTATTTACTACATTACTTTGTTTACATTTTTTAATATTACTTTAATTAACATTTCAGTATTAAATAATATCGCATAATATTAAAAAATTACACTCAATTATGAGAAACACAACTGGAAAAAAAAAGGCTTTCATTGTTTGTGTTTCGTCCGAGAAATTATATTTTGCATTTTTTAAGAAAATGAAAATATTTTATTAGCTGTGTATGTAATCTTTGACAAAGTGATTGTGCTAATAATGATAATAATAAATAAAATTCTCTTCACTTATATTACATAAAATCCAGATTTCGCACCCAGAAAAAATACAACACATTATATCCTGATCTCAAATTTCTGGATTAGGGAAGGTCCCATTTAACCCGGAAATTTGAATTACCATTACTTGCCTCAGTCTTTTCTGCTGCTATGAAATCGCAAGTTGCTGATGTGTTTTAGTTCTTTGAAAAACTCAAAAAATTGTTTGCAACTCAATATTTACATTATATTGTACAGTATATGATTATTTATGTGTATAACGAATTGATAATTCTGGCCCTAAGAATTAACATAGCGAGTTTGACGAAAGTGACTTATTCTAGTAAACATTGTTTCACACACCTAAATAAACAATGTCGAATTCGTATAACAACATTTCTGTTTAAGATCGTCAGCGCAAGATTATCCAACAACGTGATTAATATGTACCACATGCTAACACTAATCCGGTAATTTCAATATTAAATTTACAAGTAATGGTAATTCAAAATTACAATCTGAAGTAATTGTAGACTAAATATATAAAGACTGTTAATTTTTATTTATTATTTATTAAAGTAAAGAGAACAAGAAAGATTTGAATTTTACACATCTTTCTCAATAAGCAAGGATTTTGCTCTCATTTGACCACCCGCGGCCAAGCTGTTACTGGTCATCGAACCAAGACACATCTCAATACACAAAACAACACTCTGATTTTATTCTATCTAAAATATTCACATTTCCTCTAGTTTTTTCCCATGCGAATCCCAGAATGTTGGGTATATTTGACAACCAGAGTGTAACATCGGTATTTAAAATAATTACTGATCATTTCAATAAAAATCATGATGATTGACGAATCAAAAGCAATATAACATAAGTAACAACAGAAAATGATTTCCTTAGACAAGGCTTTTAAATAAGAGAGAGATGATTTAATAATAATAAAATTTATTTATAATTGAAATAAATGTATAATTTCTTTTAATTCAAAAAATAATTTAATATTTTTAACTCTTTGCGTTAAGTGGTCTTTTATAAAAAATTTCTTCTATAAACTACTAAGCATTTGAAATCATTTATATCTAAGTAATTTTCTCTTTTACGAAAAATCTCACAGTTCCTCAACTTTGCCCATAAATAAAATAAGATCACATTTCGTATCATATATAACAAAAGCAAATGGATGATCAACGATAAATTCTGGATTAAATGTCAGTGAGAATCCCACGACGTTAACAAGTGTAGCAGCAGCCGCTTCAGTTCCTTCTTCATTTACAACAATAACAGCCTTATGGATGATCTGCGACACCATCAGATCCGGAGCGTCGCTTATTCGATTTAGTTCAGCGCCACATTCAAAGAGTCGCCTTATTCCAAGTTCTTGAAAAGTCTCTTTCATGGATTTGGAATATTCCAATCGAAATTTGGGTAGAGCTACATCTACTTCTTTAAGCAGCATTTCGCGTTTTAAATCTTTGAAGAAATCGGCAGACAGTTGCTTTTCCAGTTCCTTCAAACCATTTCTGGATTTTGGGAGTAAAATAAGCATGGCTATTTCATCTCCTTTATACGGTAGCTGTAAGGCTTTAAAAGATTCTCTCTCAGAGTAAAGAAACGATTCTGTAATATGCATCATATCTACTAGCTTCATGTTGTCCTCCATTCCTTTGTTGTAAAAATTCTGACGGTAAGTTAACATTTCATTGAATTTATGTGACCAAGTTCCCTTGAAGTACACAGCATTCAATATTACCATAACTGTAGAAGGATCAAGCGAATCCACAAGTTTAGGAATCATATGATTGGTTTTGTTTTTTACCCAATCATTGATGTGACTGATGACTTTCTCAGATTCGATAACAAAATCCACTTCCAGTATCAGAGCTCTAAAAAATTCTTGAAGAACCCACTTGTACTCTTCTTTCACAGCAAATCCTTTCTGACTTAATACACTATTAGCATAATTTAAAACATAATTATCAGGAGTCTTTTCCAACGTAGATAGAAGTTGTTGAAAAGCAGATTTAATATTATCCTCTGTGATATTTCCCAATTGGTAACCAATAGCAAGCCTAATTTCCTTAGAGGTTTCTTTTTCTGAACCACAAAAAAACATTGTCAAGGCTGCTGAAAGACTGAAAGGCGAAAAGAAAGTATTTTTTCCTTCCTTAGCCAACAGTTGATATAAATTCATTCCGAGATTGTTATTTGCATCAATGACAGCCACAGTTTCAACGGAGCAAGAACAACCAGATTCCTAGCAAAACAGAAAAGTATTTCAGTGAAATGCGGAAAATTTATATTTAAAGTTTTAAGGAGGCTCATACACCTTAAACCCCTTATGATCTTCGAATATGTGACTGTTGCAAAAATTAGGATATTTTATTTATTTTAAAAGCAATTACTTCCAACTTTTTACAGCTGACTACATAATATAGCTGCTTTGGGAACTAGTAACCAAAAAGTTTGTGTTGCCACAAATAGTTTTGTAATTTAATCCGTTTTGTGACAAAATTTTCCTTCATGTTTCCACCTTGCGCGAATAATATTTTAAAAATGGCTAATGGCACATTCTTGAAATTTGATGGAGTTCTTTATATATGCACTATTTTCTAACTGAATCAAAAATCTGATGAATATTTTAATACTGAAAATTTTATGCACGAAAACATTACAGACTTTTTTAATAAAATACATTTTATGAGCTCAACTCCAAACAAAATTAAAATTTAACACGAAATTCTTAGAATTTTTTATTTACAGTAGTTTCCAAATGTTATAAAAGCTATATATTAAATATGGAATTAAATTATGCAACAGAATGTTTTAAACCGTGCGCGCAAAGTAGAAGCATGATGAAAAATTTTGTCACAAAGCGGATTCAATTACAAAAATATTTGTGGCAACACAAATTTTCTGATTACTATTTCAGAAAGCAGCTGTAAAAAGTTGGAAATAATTGCTTTTAAAATAAAAAAAAAAATATCCTAATTCTTGCAACAGTCACATATCCGAGGATCTTACGGGTTTTAAAGTGTATAAGTCCCCTTAAAACTGAAGAACTCGTAAGAGGGGAAAAAAGGAAGGAAAATTTAAAACCGACAAAAATAAAGGAGGGAGAAGAAAAAAACCACTAATGCTGAAGGATTTTAAAAAATAGTAATTAACACAATAAAAAGGAAAGAGCCCGCAAAACGGAACGTTCGTAATTAAAAACAAAAATTAGAAAATTAGATATTGGAGAAGATTTTAGTCAAATACTTTAAAACCATTTTCCTGAACATTATATTCACAACTTCTTAAGACAAACCAGTTTTAAATATAATGACACAATCTCTTGTTTTATCTGTATACTTAATTACGAAGGATTTGGAAAGTGTTTGATATATGAAAAGCTCATTCCAATCTACAATATCTTTCATATGTTTTATAGTACCTTCGTATAACTTTTGATATCTAGGAACTAATGTCATATTTAAGTAAGGTTATGTCCCCATTCTAAATATTCAAATTTTAAACAAGATTGAATAGTTACTTCTTTTCAGCTTCGTTTCCAAACGATCACCAAATTTAACTTTTGCTTAAACAAGATTCTCCTTTAGAAATTCCATATAGAAAAGATAAGAAAGTATTATCAATCGTTATGTTGTTGTTGCTTATGCCCGTTTGTCTGACGTAGTCAGACCAAGCCCACGAAATTCCTTGTGGCAAGGAGCGCTAGAATACACCTGCCACTGACAGCAGCCTTGAGCCAAAGAATATCTTAGAGATTCTTTGCTTGAGCACCATTAAGGTGACAATGCGATTTAGCTCAGTTCCGCCCCCAATATTGATGGAGAGCACCCCGGGGTGGACGGGTCCGAGGGTCTCCCATCCCTCCCTCTTCCACCAAACCACACGATGGGACTTTCGGCTCGCGGCATATTTAGACTGCTGCCATGCTGCATCTACATTTACAAACATCCATGCCTTCTCCGGGATTCGAACCCGGCCCCTTCGACGACGCTAATCACTATACCGGTTGGGCGGCATCAATCGTTATTCTAATATCTAACGCACCTGGTTTACAAGATTCTACAAATAATGAAATTTTAACATCGACTTTGAATCGTCGCTTAAAACTTTGTTACTCAAGAATTTCGTAAATCTACAGAAACACAATTTTGTGTAGATGTCTCATCTTGATCATTTACAGGATCTCCCCAATTCGATAAAAAATTAAGTTCCATGTCAAAATTCCCACATCTGTTAGTTTTATAGCAGTGGAACATAAAAATCTTGATTATATTGTAAAACATTGTCATTATTTTCAGTGTTTGCTATTAATTTTTTTTTCTAAATACAGGGTGTGACAGGGAAACTTCCTTATTTGAAACGCGTGCCATCTAGCGACATTTATTACGAGAAGGGCGGGGTGGCGCTCATTGAAAAGAGCGGTACCTAAAAGTTTTATGCCATGTAGGTTTAGTACCGATCATGCAGTGAACGAAAAAGGAGAGCTTGTTCTCCGTGGAGTCGTACTTTTCAACGTACTGCATTTTCATTCATATAAATTGGCAGTGGTGCAAAAACTTAATCCACGCGATTTTCTTTCACGAAAAAATGCACGCAAAGCCGTTCTTGACAATACGCTTCATGACGCCATTGTGTTCTTTAGCGATGAGGCTCATTTTCCTCTTTCCGGTTGCAGCATGCATTAAGCAAAACATGCGATAATGGAGTGGCACGAATCCCCGAGAATCTCATGAGCATCCTCTCCATACAGAAAGTGTGACTGTTTGGTGTGCATTGTCCAGAATAGGCCTCATTGGACTATGATTTTTTGGAGAATATTTCCCTGGACGACTTATCTCCTTACGAGGCGATTGTCAGTGGCCACCGCGTTCGCCTGATTTAGCCCCGTGTGATTTCTTTTTGTGAGGCTATCTGAAATCTCTAACGTCCAAAGACCCTGGCTCAACTGAAGAACAATATTCAAGCTGCTATCGACAACAGACCCGTTGATATGCTGGTAAAAATAGGAAAGAAACTTCGAAACTCGACTATCTCAATGCATTGACCAGAACGGAGGCCACCTTGATAATATTATTTTTAAACCCTAATAAAAAAAAACTTTAAGTGTTTCTCTATAACTTGGAAAAAAAATTAAACTGATATCGCTTATACTATTTGTGGAAAATAAGGTAGTTTCCCTGCCGCACCCTTTTCATTGACAATAGTTTCAGGTTCAATTGGTTCAATTAGCGCTCCCAGTTCTGTTATCTATTGTCTCTATAGTATCCTTAATTTTTAAACAATTGTCTAAATATTTTTAAAAAACTCTTTATTTGTGAGGTGTTTTTCATTTTTCGAATTTCCACAGATTGTTAAAATTTCTTTTTCCATATAATTTCTATCGCTTTTGAATTTGAAACCGCTTTTTCCTCTGTTTCCTTTTTGAAAGAGATAGTGCGTTATATTTTCTCAAACAGTAAGTATTTTTGCAACGGTTTTAGATCCAAGAAAATTTTTAACTCCATCATCAGCATTTGCGCCGGCAGCATCTAGACTGGCTATTTTTTTTGCAGCCGGTACTGAAGTAGGAATCAGATAAAGAAGGAAGAAATTCTCCCTCTTTATTCTGTTTTGGCTGAGATTCGAAATTTTCTTTCTCTATTCTGAATCTTTTTCATTTGAGATTTTGCTAAAAAGGGGTATCAAAATTTCACCCTTTATGATTTTTAAAGAAATATGTTTTTTTATACTTTCATATGCTTTTCTCATGTTATCTCACTGACATTCAGAAAGACAAACACTCATTTTAAAATAATGTCTGATATATATGGAAATAAATTTATTACAATATTCCTTCACAAAATTACAATCTACCTCCCCATTTCTCAATAACTTGTAAGTCTAAAGTAACGTAATTATCTGATGATTTTTACGCTTAAAACTATTGCAAATTTTTTGAGTTAGTTCTTTTAAAAAATACAATTTATTCCCTAAGTATTTGTCAGTTAGCAATTTTGAAGAAGCTCTTATTTTAAAAAAATCTTTTTAACTATGTTTCCAACATTATCTCTTTCTTATCACTACCCTCAGCATTCGATTTCTCTTCTTGAATTTCTATCTCTGTCAAATTTTTGACTGTTAAGCTGCCCCCTTGCCTTTCTAATCACTAGTTTGTTTTAATCTTTTGTGCAATTTTATCGTCATTAAAAGTAGTAAACAGCTCTGAAAATAGATCTAATTTTTTTTTCTAAAAACCTAAAATTTAAGTCTACTGAAATTAAACATTGGTTGGTTAGTTGGTTGGTAACGGAGGACGGGGACGCCTGATGTCTAACAGAGGTAAACAGGCATGTGTCCTGCGCCCTCCACTAACCAGGAACAACTCCCTGGGGCCTCAAGAGGCCGCCTCGGGAGCTTTTTAGGATGTTAACAAGAGCATTTACATGGCCATACAAGGGCAAAAACTTTTAAATATCTTCTATGCTTTGATGGGATTGGTTTTGATTTGAAAGATGTGGCCTTTTTCTGTCGTATCAATAATCGGCTAATGAATATTTGTTTCCTTTTGAAACTTGTCTTCCTAATTTAGTTTGGTTTCTTTTTGCAGTTTTAGAGCCTTTAAAAACCTTTTATATTCTTTCTCTTTTTTGGTATCGCTTATTTAATACAACAGAAAATTTGAACCATGAAAAATATTATTTGCGTGATGAAAAATTCCTTTCTACATAAATTATAAAATTAAAAATAATGACGAAGAAGGAAAGATTACAGATCCGAATGAAAACGCTATTACGTTCATCCACCCATCAGGCTTGTGATTGTAGGAGAACCTGGCTCAGGAAAATTTTTTTTTAATGAATTTACTTTGAAACTTTAAAACTGAAATACATTATTCATATGTATAAAAAATATTCCTGAAGATATTCAGATTTAATTAAAAAATTTAAGCGATTTTAAAGTATTCAAAGAGGAGCTATAATAACGTTTACAACTGATAAAAGATTACAAAAAGTACTGCTACGAAATGTAATAAATAATTATTTGCAGCAGATAATTAAAAAGAATTTGTAAAGTTAGAAGATTTAGATCAAAATAAGAAGAATATAACTGTATGTGATGATTGTCTTGTTGAAATTCACTCACTTGTTAAATTCAAACTTTTGTGGTAGACATAAAACTGAATTCGTCATTTATCTGCTCAAGCTTATTACAACATTCCTAAATAAATAAGGATTAGCTGTAATTATTTCATATTTTTTAATA